AATAGCCAGACCATGTGACCACTAAGTATTACAGAGTACAATACTTTTACACTAATTACCTGGTTCCCCAAAATAAGATAAGCTATCTTAAAATAAATTAATCAAAGAACTTCTGAAAGCACAATCCAGAACATCCAGCCAGAAACAATTCATAAAAGTTATGAAAGTTAGGCGGTTATGTTCTAAATTAGACAGACAAAAAATTGAATCCGGGATCGACTTACCGACTTACTATTTTACGCAAAGCAGTGTATCTATTACTGTGCCACGGAAATTGTTACAGTTAACAACATTATCATTCCCGTAACGCAACATTCTGCTTTTAATTATATACATAGTTACATTCTTAGAAACAAAATATGTACTATTTACAAAGAGAACACCTACAGATTATGTAACTGTGCAGATAAAAAAATCACTAAAAGCGTCGGCACATATTTTAAATGACAAGTACCAACATTTCCACGTTTTTATTTCTTCTTCAAATGTCTCCATAAAATGCAAAAGATGGGCCTTTACGAGAACTGGTTTCTTTTTGTCAGTCCCCCTATATTTTGCCTCTACACGTAATAAGACGATGTTATTTAAAATACTTCACTCAATGTAAGAAATATACTTCGAGGTAATGACAATAATGTTGGGAAATTGCCTGGAGCGTCTGCTTTAGAGCGATTGCTAAATTAAACCATGTACTTACAGCGACCCTGGTATGACTTCGCCCAGGTAGGTAGATATATTATATTACTTCATATTATATACCACTATTTATTATACTATAGCAATATCCCGCGATATTGTTCACGTGATGTTTATTTTACCATGCCACGTAAACATAAACTTGACTACGTAAATTTAGATAAAACATGTCGTATTTGTTAAACCAGGATAAAGTCAACTGTATATAAAATGCCATGCAAATCCGTACAGCCATTTAAACTAGATTGATTAACAAACATCCAAAGTTCCAAACAACTTCAGAAGTTTCCTCATCTGTACATCTGTAATACGTATTAGTAGGAAGTCGGATAAAAGCCTCTGTGCATATTTAATGACGCAATTTCCACTTAACAAATGAGTTAAAATAACAAAAGTCATCATCATTTCAGCATTCCATTATCACTTGCTGACCGTAGACCTCACATACTATCACAATAAAAGGCCCGAAGTCGCTTATATACACTGACTAACACACGAACTATTTTGGGCAAGAGACGCCTTTTCCAAAATGAACTGATATCACAGACCCCCATAGCCAAATTACTTTAAAAATTCTTCCTTTAGTTTGTTTTTTATTGATACAAAATACTTACCAATTTAAAAACTTTGCAGTAAAGTGAGTAAACTTGACATAATTTTCCCGTTAAATTTTAACAAAATAAATGGATATAAAATTCAATAAACATCAAGTATAATTAATAATTACAACAAGTTAGTAAACGTAACACAACTTATACAGTATCTTTCAAATAAAAACTTGTATTAATTAATAGGGGTCGATTTTTAGATCTCGTCGACCTCCAAAATCAGTTTTCGTTTATGTCGACCCCTGGGAAACCGATTTCGACCCCAAGGGGTCGATGTCAACCACTTTGGGAATCTCTGAGGGCCTATCATGAAATGTTTTCCGAAATTTCGGATCCGAACGAAACACAAATTTGATGTTAAAATTACATGATACGTGCCGTTTAAAAATATTTCAAATGCTAAAGTATCGTTCCTTTTTACTTTTATGATAGGATTTATGACAAATGAAATGTTAGGCTCCATTTATAGGGTCGATTTCGGTACGAACAAAAACACGAAATTAAGCCCGAAAATTCGGAATTTTATTTCATGGTAGACCCCCAGGTCATACCATTTCTACAACATACAGATCATCGTTCCATTCAAAGAAGGATTGCCTTTTGAGAATATTTTGCTGTATCGTTTGTTAATTCATGCGTATAGTCGCCTCATAACTATTAGGATATTCAACACTATTCTTATAGCTGTAGAATCTTGGAGAATATTGATATTCTCCAGGATTCTATATAATGATTATTACATCATCAAGAGAGCGACGGTGAACATTATATTTATATTGATGTACACCAGAGGAGAAACAACTCTCCTAAAACAAAACTTCATAATCTACAAACGTTAAATTTTGTAACATATTGTAATTACAATCTTTTGTATAGTTAGTAACTTAGAAAGGCAAACAAGGCTGAACAAAACGGCTTTCATAACACAGTTTCGAATGATGGAAAGTTTTCCAGATGGCTCTGCTATAATTTCGTTGGTTATCATTTGTCGCCTATATGTATATACTATAATTTACAGAGCAGATAATAATTTAATTTTAATTATTATATAAATTATTATTATATTATAGATTAATTAATAAAATATTAATTTAAATCATTTTATTATAAATTTTTGGTCGTCAGGTATACACTACTGAAATACTGTCTTAACAATAGCATTACTAATTGTCATTAATCTTACGTCCACATCTTGCCTTACATTTACGTAAAATAGCAAAAAATTGTTAACAATGTTCTCTGCGAACATGCCAGACGCCCTAAATCGCCGTGGCTAGTTGAAACACCAATCAGTTTTGTTTATTTATTAAAAATGTATCTATTTTCTTCTAAATTTATCATCTGTTATCTGTCATGTTTATATTTGTCGGCAAACATATACACGTGTAAGAAAATATGCATTGTACTGTCTAATATGTCGCAGGATTCGCATAGTGAACGCTGAGTGACTACAGAGTGCCACTGATGATCAAAATGCTATAATTTATTACATCATCCATCAATTAAAGAATCCAATTGTGGTCCGATAAATCATGTTCTTTTTAAAATTAACGGTGCCCTATCAAGTTCAGTTTTCATGTCTCAAGTAAATACGCTATAAATAGAATGATGAATTTTAATAAGGATCGATACAAGGAAAGAAAGACTCAAAAAAGTAAATAATGGTTAAGATAATATTAATATTTGATCTAAGGTCACCATATTAGAATTATGGCAAATGGAATGACAGAACTGTGATGACACCAGTATTACAAACCATCTGAATAATAGTTATTATGTATGTACAGACTCCAAATAATCGAAAAAACACTTGAACAATATTCGTGGTATGTAGGTACATTAAGAATTAATAAAAAAAACCTAAGGAACATAAATGAATTGACTGGGTACAGAGGAATAACACCTGAGTCCTCCGGAATGGCAACGCATGGGAGGTATCATGGGCGAAACAGTATACTCTGTTATGTCCATGGTACTGCTCATGTCTATAGGCGACGGTTACCACTTTCCATCAGGTGGGCCGTCAGCTTGTTTGCCATTCTAAGTTGTATAAAAAAAAAAGCTTCTTTTATTAGTGTGTATACTTTTATTTTTAATGATATCCCTACACGTTAATACGTCGTTCCCATAAACATATATTGAATATGTATATTGTATACTGATTGAGCAATTTTACAAAATAATCCTGTATGATTAGATATGTTCTTAGCACTGCAGACGCGAAAGTCTGCAATAGCACCTACTATTGTAAATTCTCTAAGGTCATTCATAGCAACTCTACCGGCGCAATCAAATTAGCCGATGTGCTTACTGGAAGCTCAGACATGTGGTTAATAGGTAAAAACACACCTACAAAAACAAGTATGGTAGCATTCCTTGTAGAAATACTGTCGGATTCAAATGAAGTGAGTATTTAAAGTATTATAGAAATATCTATTAAGAAGAGAAATTTTTCACATTACTTATTTATAATAAAAAATCTCCAAAAAACATGTAACAATTACGTAAATATTAATCTTAGGTCTATTATATGTTGTTCCACATTCTTTTAAGACTAAAAATCTTACTTTAACTGAAGAAGGAGGCGTTCATATACATTTTGGCTTTTTATGAATAATAGGAGAAAGATTATATCTAAGGCCGATTTTTAAAGGTATTAATGAAATGTCAAACGCTCTTAAGGGGCAGGCCTATGATCAACAGTGTTTCACTGTTAGTATAGGATATATATATAAAGGTGATGGATGGATGGTAGGTGAGGATGATCAGACAGGTCAGTTAGCCCATCGTGTTGAATTGACCTGGAATTGAGCACAACAATTTCCAGGGGGGACCGCGAGGAGGTCTACCTGGCAGGGTTTCCTAAGGCCGATTAAGCCGGGGATTGTTAGTAATGGAGATTAAGGGTCCAATTGCTAGCAATATACCCAACCAGGTCGACCTCCACGTGGTCCTCCCTGGAAATCATCGTGCTGAATTCCAGGTGAATTCATCACGATGGACAAACTGACCTATAGTTTCATCCTCACTTATCATCTCTCACTGATGCCCCGCCGGCGTTTGTCGCTAGCGCAGGCGAGGTTACCATTCAATTTTCGCCGATTAAATATATATATTATTATTTCATTCAAAGTTATAGGTACATAGGTAGTTACTGTTTCTTTAGCAAACGACGTAGATTAGTTAAATGTTTATGTCAGTAAAATCAGTTTTCTTTACCTGTCCGTTTTTAGTACAGTCTTGGCGCGTCTTTTATTGAAATACCTAACGGTGAACAAACGTTTTTATATCTTTATTCGTTTATCTATTTAGACTTATATTAAACTACTAATTTTGTTATAAAAACGTCAAGATTGTGTACAAAAGACAAATAAAAAAAAACTGAGTTTATTATCAATAACTACCTAATCGTATCATAAAAAATAACAATCAACTATTTCTTACTAAGTATATTGAAAGATTTCACGCTGTTGTTTTAGTTTCTGTCTTATATTATCAACCTCAAATAAGTAGGTACAATAATATTCATACAATAAATAATACACATTCAAAACATGCAGATAATTGTGTTATTCCCAGAGAATATTTCCGATAAAGTAACCCGCAAGGTGCGCTCGAGTCGAAAGCCGAGGTGCATCGCATTCTTTCAAGAGGGACGAACGGGAGGGAATGGGTTCCATCCTCAGTTATTCTTACCGTTTCCACGTATTCCCACCACAATCCTTTTGTATAACAACTGTATTGCACTGTTAGAGCATATTCTTCACAACACTCTGTCAATAACAATATAAATTCACTTAAAATTGTCCATTTTGGTTTACATCACAAACAAAAAATATCTCAGAGGCGATGCATACGTCCAACGCGTTAGCCTATAAAAGCAAACTGGATTCATTTAGCTAGCTTGTCTGTTTGTGACGCAGTCGGCTATCTCCATCTTCTTCTTACTTATAGTTGAACAATGAATTCGTCTCTGTCGGTCGAAGAAAAGCGCCAATGCACGGGCACAGCGCGGGCGCCGAGTTCTTTCATACGAACAAGAAAAAACAAAAGCTCTTTTGAAACAAGTTACGGGCAATGGGAATGGAACTTTAGGTACCTGTCAAGATATTTTGAGTATGATTTAATATTTTATTTTAATAAAAGTGACAAGGCTCTTATAATGTAACGAGAGATAATCAATAACTAGGAAACTGTAACATATTAAATTTATTTTATAAATTAACCAGCGATTTAATTATAAAACTAGTACTTTGCAATAATATAAAAGGATAGGATTTACTTTCTTTAAATTTAAGATGACCTATATCAAATTTTATCAGATCCGACTTAGCCGTTTTACTACGAAAACCAAAACGGGCAAACATTGTTCATTCTCGTTTTTTTATAGGTAATATTAATTTAGTAGTAAGAATGCAATTATTGATTATTATAAATTCATCTATCTGAATTTATCTCTTTCTCTCTCTCTTCAGTCGTACACTCAAACAGACAGAGAGGTCGTGGTTTTCATGATTATAATGGTTTATCGCTGAGGCTCTTATTCAGTACTGAGAACCTCGCAATGTACTCTATTTCTACAAATTCTTTTTAACTGGATGATTTTGTACGGAACCCTCGTTCCGCAAGTCCAACTCGCACTTGACCGGTTTTTTTAATATAAGTAGGTATACATATCTATTACGTAAATGTCCTTGAAATATAAAATTCGATCTATCATATGAATAACTTACTAAATCGCTTCCAATTAAATTGGAATACCTAATCCCACCAATCCTAAACATGTAAACAATTAAATGAAATCAGCGAAAACCTGATAGATACAACTATTTACCTAAATAAAGGGCAGAAATTAAAGCGTATCTCGTCGAGGCACATTCCTGAGCGATTCAAAATACGAGTAAGTCATATACCAACTCAGTATGTAGATATAACTAAGGTACAAGGCGGCACTTGTAATCGACGGCGTATAATAGACTTGCCTTTAAGTTTTAACAAAACCTGTAATGTAGGGCTCTAAGTAAATTCGAGTATGATCTATACTCGTACATATTAATATTATAAATTCGAAGGTTGTTAGGGCATTTTACATACTGATTCATACGGGCAAAGTCGCGGTAAATCGTTAGTCTTAAACATAGTTTAATAGATTATTTGCTAGTTAAGGCCTGAACGATACTTTAGCGATTAAATGAAATCATATGTGTAGACAAAAGAACCTGGGGTTCTACCATGAAATGGACTACCAAATTTTCGAACTCAATTTCGAGTTTCTGTTCATACTGAAATCGGCCCAGTAAATGGAGCGTAACGTTTCATTCGTCATAAATACTACTATAATAGTCTAAAGGAACGATATTTTAATATTTTAAATATTTTTAAACAGTATGTATTATGTAATTTTAACATCAAATTTGTATTTCGTTCGACCCCGAAATATCGGAAAACATGTAATGGTATAACCCTTAGGTCTGAAACATTAACATCTTTGAGTCCATTATCACAATATGGGCTCTGATAATGAATGAAAATGATTAAAGGACTTCGACTATTCTAACCGCTTGGTATTAGTTACTGTTAGAAATATCTAGCAAGCAACGAGAGCTTTTAAATATGTTTACGAGCCTACGAATTTACAGGTTATTGCTGAAATGATGATTATGATAGAGATTGCTCGCAGTGTCATCATCAGATCAGAGAGAATTATACAATAATCATTGATTACCATCCGCCAATCAACATCTCTAAAATCTCGAAAAATGGAATTTAGACAGCGCAACTTTTACAAGCTAGTTAGTCATACCTAAATACCTATAGACAATCTTAGTTTTGTAGGTTAATAGGTTTTAGTAACTAAAATAGACACCAATTTTATTTTTATTTTGAACTTTTTTCTTATTATTCATTATAGATTTCCAAAAAGAGGACTTTCTTAATTTGCCTATATTTTCAATATATTTATTAGAGTTATTTGTGGAACAAAACCTACTTGTATTTTGTTATTTAAACGTAATTACTAATGTCCTTAAAACAATTGGATTGGTTCAAAATAAAGCACCCTTCGAAGGCATTACAAGGAATGGTGACATAGTAACTCTCTATGTATTCTCTATTATCAATTGCAAACAAAGACAAACTAAATCTGCGTCCGACAAAGAAGGCTTCAGGGCATTACTACATCAGATTAAACTCTATTGTGTTGTGCCTTCCGAGACTCTGGAGAGTGCACCAAACATGCAATTCAAGGAAACTTGTTTATGATAAAGCTACCCATCAACTCTGCATCCGTACGTAAGTACAATGTGCCGTTTATCTTGTATTCCAACGGACTTTAAACGGCCCATCCTACCTGTAATACGATGAGCTTGTACAATGGGACTCGGTACTTGAACTGGTTTCATATGTACTTAGATATATCTTTATGTGTATCTTTCCATTACGTACCATAGGAGTTGTATATATATATATATATATATATATATATATATATATATATCCTAATAAAAGCAATAGAGGAGTCTTAATAAGAGCAAAACAAAAATTTGTAGAATTTTTGTATATTTATCTGCCTGTCTGTTTGATTATAGGTACATGTGGACGGCAAAGGAAATCAGGAATGGAAATTAAAAATCTATGTTAATAAAGGAAGCTTAGAAAACTAGATCCGTGGAGGGGAGCCAAATGGGAACAATAGAAGGAAGTGTCAATTTAAACTAGGAATATAAAACTATAAACATATAACTGGCCACATAACATATAAATACATATGTGGCCAGTACTCCATAGTATGTTTGTTCTGACGTGATACAAAAGCTACTGCAACAAATTAAATATGGTTTTCACATTTGTGTTCCAGAAGATGTAACCTAAAATCTGATATACGTTTTATATTGATACGCTGTCTAGATATACGAGTAGGTACTTACTTTTGAAATCCACGCATACGAGGTTGTGAACAAAAACTAATATCAATAGCAAACTAGTATTAATGAAATTCATTGAAAAAGTGAACAAGTTTTATTAAAATTATCACAAAAAATAATAAAATTTGTAACAAATCTAAACATTTAACCAATTCAAAAACTTTTTTCCCCATTGATTTTCGGTTCTTAGAACTATGCAACCAGCCTATTATCATTTCAGCTTGCTTATGCTTGCGTCACAATATATATTATTAATTTCACTGTTTTCTTATCATTCAAAATTTCATACCAGAACATCTATGCAATCATAACTTGGTTTGGCGTAGGAGTCCCTCAGCATTTTAAACATCCTTTAGTTTTTCATAAAGTTTCTCACATGTAAAACATAAGACAATGATATTATTTTCGAAAATATACCATTATCATGTCATACTCGATTCTGTTTTATATTTAAGTTTTTTACCAGATAAATATCGACTTTGTTTTACGATTCCGTAACGAACTAAATAAGGTACATCATCATCCTGGCTCGATTCTCCGTTGGTTCATGACAAACTTTATTAAATTAAACCTGATCTGAACGTACATTCTGAACGTTCTTAGTACGTTCTTTAGTACTGTTGGAATAGTAACCCCGCCTGCACTAACAGTATACTCTGGCGGGGCACCAGTGAGGGATGATAGGTGAAAATGAAAAGGCAGGTCAGTTAGCCCATCGCGATGAATATGCCTAAAATTCAGTACGATGATATCCAGGGGAGACCACGTGGAGGTCAAGTTGACAGGGTTTATTACTAGCAATAACATTGGTAGAGTCCGCATTACTAACAATCGTTTGAGTCGTTTGCTTGAGTACCTCAAGACCTTACCTTGACTGTAAGAAATCCCTTTATTAGATAAGTCCGCTATTGTATATTAAATTTTTTAATGTGTCCAATGTAAATTATGTACAATAAAGATTTTACAATACAATACTCTTGGACTGGAAAAGATTGTATAAACATTAAACCTTCGCTTTGCCAATGACATTTTTATATGTGATCTAATGAATAAATGGTGTTTCTCAACAAGTAGGTCTTAAGATGAACATGGACAAGAGTAAAATCATGTCTAACGTCCCTGTCACACCTATACCAGTTACGATTGAGAACAAGAGTTGCCGACCGAGACATCGTAAGTTGGGGAAGAAATGGTTCTTGACCCAACCAGGTCGATCTCCTGGCATGGTTAATTCCTGATTCATCGCATACGGATAAACGCCAGCGTATAGAATCAAAAGAAAAAAACTTCCCGAGAGATCACTAGATGGGATGGTCTATATAGTCTCTTTGCATGATAAAATCTGAAACGAGGATATCCGCAAAAAAACCACAATAACTGACATAGCCCGAAGAATAAGCAAGCTGAAATGGCAATGTGCTAGTCACATAGCTCGAAGAACCGACATCTGTTGGGGAAGAAAGGTTCTTGAGTGGCGACCGCATACGGATAAACGCAGTATAGGACGACCCCTCACTAGATGGGATGGTCTTATAGTCTAACCAAAGTGTGGTGACAAGTCATAAATCCCTTTTATATGGAGACTCTTTTTGCATATATATGGGATAAGAATGGAATGATAAACCCGCCTGCGCTATCGGTATACACTGGCGGAGCAACAGTGAGGGATGATAAATGAGGTTGAAATAGCTCAATTAGCCCATCGTAACGAATTCAACAATAATTAACCATGATGGTTTCCAAGGAGTGCTGAGGTCGACCTAATAGAGTATGTTGCTAGCAATGGGATTGTTAAGCCCCATAACTAACAATCCCTTACTCACTGCTTATATGTGTTTGTATTTATTTATTCAATAATACATATATGTGTACATGACGGACTTAAAGCTAGAAGCATTTTCTTTCAGTCAACAGTATTTATCAGTTATTACTTACAAATTTAATTTTACTATTTTCTTATTTTACCTACAAACGCATCCTCAAGGAAGGATCCTGGCCGGTCTTAAAATCAAAAGCCAAAAACTTGTGAAATATGTACAAAAACATATTACGCTGACCCCTAAATAATTAGGATAAGGGCAGGATAATGATAATTACTCGCAAATTTAATATCGAAGGATCTAATGATAAATAAACATTGTAATAAACATTTCGGCATCTAATATCGACAAAATGAAATAAAGTCACTGCGATTGGTATCTGACAAGCAAAACAAACTGACGACGCCATATTGTCTGTTTATTTTGAAGGGCCGCTCGCATAAACAAAATGCGAGGCTAGGGCGGCAATACTGCAAATATTAACCCGACAAGTCAGCATGGGGTTTCTCGAAATTAGAAAATTCAAAGTAAACGGTTTACCATCTGGGATGTAGGAAGAGATAACTACTCTCTGCATCTAGAATCTATCTTGATAATAAATCCCTAACAGACATGCTTAGAGCTAAGGATAGATTCAAACCTCTAACTTTTCATCTCTCGCTTCATTTTTGAGCAAGGATTTCAAAATAGAGGTTCTCATTTCTCGTGTTTTTGTATGTGTATGTTAGAAAATATTTTTGCAGATTTTAAGGGCTTTTGAAGATAGAATTTAGTCCCGTATTGGGCCCAGATTAACTTTGTCAAGTTTTATTCGGCCGGCTCTGGCGACTTAGCTCCTTTTCAATAATTTCTCCTAGTTGAAAGGAACTATTTATCAAACATGCAACGATGCATGCTAGTAATATACGTATATGTACGTAAGTGGAATGGTAACCCTGCTTACGATATCGGTATACGCTGGCGGGGCACCAGTGATAATTAACAGTTAAAGATGAAGGCAAGTCAGTCAGCCCATTGTTAAGAATTCGAGAAGAATTAACTGCGACGATTTCTAGAGAACGCGTGGAGGTCGACCTGATAGGGATAGCAATGGGACTGTTAGAATATAACCCATTACTGACAAACGCTTAAGTTCGTAGATGTCGAGATATAGAGAGTATGGGTATGTTGTCATTATGGCAGATAATCTTCAAAATTTAAGAGATGTAGATGGGTAGGACGATTTGTGAATAAATTGAGCAAAGGCGTTGTTACATGGATAGGGAATGAGGTTGCTTGAGAAACGCAGTGTTTGAGGGCAATCTTTGAGGGGTATGCACAAAGAACTGAGCAGAAAAAGCCTATTTACACATCATGTTTCAGCTAAATTGAAACTTGTATAATTGTCTGCGCTCGTCAGTAGGCCTACTCTTGAATCTAATATCGATATCAAACCCAATCTATTGCCAATAACAATTTTTACTATACTATTTTGTTTATACAACTTAGAATGGCAAACAAGCTGACGGCCCATCTGATGGAAAGTGGTAACCGTCGCCTATAGACATGAGCAGTACCATGGACATAACAGAGTATACTGTTTCGCCCATGATACCCCCCATGCGTTGCCATTCCTGAGGACTCAGGTGTTATTCCTCTGTACCCAGTAAATTCACGCCATATCCCACCCTTCAAACCGAAACACAGCCATGCAAACACAACTGCTTCACGGTTGAAACACGAATGGGACAGAGGTTTCCAAGCAATCGATTTTTGTACAGTCTCCCTCTGGTAAAAAATTCTATTATTACTATTATTTTTAACTAGTACTTATTAATTAATTAATAAGTACTAGTGAAAAATTAAGTTACAATTGAGATCGAGTTGCAATTATTTGCATTGACAATTTACACTAATATGCATCTATCAGAACAATATTCGAGCGTGAGAAACATCTCAATTCCAATTCAATCTATTGGAATTTATTTCAAGAGTAACCCCACTGGAAACTATCAACATTCTCTTATACAATAAAAATAAAACAACAATAATATTTGTATCATTGTATAATTCATTTTGATTTGCGACTGGGTATAAACAAATCTCACTTACCACATTATAATTAACTGCTGTGCTACAGATGTCATACGTAATTATAATTAACAGAAGACCTAATTTAAGAAACAATGTACATAGTGTATACATTAATGAGAAATCGTGAACTTTATAAAGTGATAGTAATGGACATATTAAATTGTGACATTCAATAATTAAATCATAATAACTAAAAAAAATATTTTTATTTATTTATAATTTTGTACATTCACTTTTAATATCAACATAAATCATGAGACAATGCTTACATTTTTATTAATAAGTTTGATACATACAATTAAATTTATAACATTTAAAAACATTTTCGTAAGCCGTCGAAAAGTTCCTAGCCATATTTAAATTACTTTAATTTTATTGCACAAAAAGACACTTGACTGTAAAGTGTTATTTTCCAGTCAATATCAATACATATGTAACAAACAACTAATAAATATGTCTGTTTATTAATTAGTAACTACGCGATAAATAACACGCAGTCGATCTGCCTTTGTCATAAAGTAATTGGACAGATTTATACGTTCCCTACATATACCTAAATGTTATCCTAAAATAACATTGCAAGAAAATATTTCCAGTTACTGCATAATACCTAATTCGTTTGTATTATTTTCTCATAAATGTAAAAAAATATCCACGAAATATAAGAAAATTACAATAAATGCTATATATTTTATCATTTATTCAAATGGCACCTAGACTACGACGAGCCTAAATAAGGGAAAGATTCCCTTCAAAGGACAAGTCCATCTGTGTACATTTTCGTTATAACTTGATATCAATTTTAAAAATGAATGTATAAAAGTATTGATATAAATAAAGGGATAAGGCAAAGCAATGATGATGATTTTTAAATTAATGTATAAACTAAACATGCCATGACCTTCGTATGCAAATCTGTAGCACGAGCAGCGCAATACGAACGAACAAACGACGACAAACTTATAGCCATCTTGTATATCACATAAATAGTTAACAATAATAAATATAACTCTCACATCCATTTACCATTTTATGGGGCCAATGCTAAATCCATGTATAATGAGAGACGACTTGTATTTCGAACAATACAATAAGTAAACAGGCAAACAAAACGTTACACAGTGTAAATTTGTTGATGGATTTAGGGAAAGGCGGCCGCAGTTTTGAGATTTAAGTTTGCGTGTTCGCTTCTTGCACTATTTTATTGATCAGGTCAATTAAAAAATATAAAAAGATAGCTCATTCCTAATACGAAAATGAAATTACTGAAATAGAAGAATCTATGAACGTTTATTGACTGCAGTTATAAATATTTTTTAAGTAGCAATATTTACTCAAACATAATAAATATTTTTTTGTTAGAGCTAGGAAGTGTTGCCATTTTTTTTTTTTATATTTTGTTAACTGACGCACAAATAAATAAGTCGTAAGTAAATGAGTAAGTTCAGGATATTTAATTACGTTAAGATAATTTTTCTACATTAGAAGAGTTCATATTTAGATGATATAAATATTTTGAATTAATGATGTTTGTAAATTTGAGGATATTTTAAAAAATATTTCCAGCAACACCTTCTGCATTAAGTAAATTGTTTGAAACGTGTAGCAATGCATAACTTTGTAACAGTTTTGTATTAACTTGGGTGATCATAGTTTTCCTATATTCTGTGCCATAGATCCATCTATACTTTTTACTGCTCTGAGATTTCACTTTTTAAAATTCAATAAATGCCTACTTAATAAATAAGTCACATTTTAAAGTAAAATTACACAATGTTTGTATACAGGCCTTAAGGTAAATACTCCAATCCTCTGAAGTTATGATTCAATACGTAATACCATATTATTAAACTTTTTTAAAAAAATATAAAAATAATGGAAAATACTGGGAATGTTCTTTTTTTGTTACGTGTGCGGCCGGAAAAAGAGTGAACTCAATTTTTGTCGTCAGAGTAACGATTCTCTATAGCTAGATCGAAAAGTTGATAGTTGTCTTATAAAAGAAAACTTATAAATTTTCTAACACAGGTTTCTATATTAACATTCTGTCTCCTATGCTTTATCATACAAAAATCACCTGAAAAAATCTCTGCATCAGAGGATTCTAGTGATTCCTAAAACCCTGTATATGGAAAACTTTACTTCTACAAGTAAAAATTGGGTCAGTGAGTTACTTCGCGGAAGTCCGTTTTTTCATAAAGATTACGAATAAAGAAGCTTGGATAGCTTGCAATCACTGCTATCCTGCTATACCTTTGTATGTAAGACAATTGACTGTTTACATAATATAATCAATGTTAATTTGTTTAATTTCGCCGTTATTCAATTATTTCGTTTCATACCAATTTGTATTCATCTTGTGTACACATAAGAGAATGATAACTCCAAGCAAAGACAAGATGCTATCATGGCAATAATAAGACTCTCTTCTTATAGGGAGACTCGTTACAATCAGCATAAAAAATCAGCACCAGAATTTAATAAATACCAATATATATCCTACGAATATATTATATGTATTTGATAATAAAATAAAGCAAAAATTTGCTTAATTGTTCTGAAAATCTTAAAGTGGCCCTCGACGTTTGATACTACCATCCTCCGCAATGGAACAATACTGAGTTATTACGATATGGTATGATGGTGGAAGCTTCATTTAAAGCGAAACGTGTCAAAATATCGCACTAAATAATAGCCGAATTAAACAAAACAACATTAAGTCGAGTTCAGTTTGTTTTTGTTAAAATAAAACGTGGGTCGTTGCCGCTATCAGCGCAAAAAGACAAACAATCCATTGTTTTAAAGTAAAAAATAAATTAGACTAATAAATTAAATCAACTCACTAGTACGCTCGTAACTATTATAATTCGGAATGTTCATCGTTACCATCGGCTAACTGCGGCGGCGGCGTCGTCTCCGTTGTTTCTTCATCGGTATCTTTTACATTTTCTTCTACTTGTTCGGTTTCTGGAACTTTCTCCGAAGGCTCCTCTTGGTTCCCCGGTTTAGCGGGCTTTTCATCAGTCTCAACAACAGTCTCAGTTTTATTATCCGATTCCTTTTTAACTGGCTTTTTAGGACGCCATATTTTCATCTTATTAATGAGATATTTCACTTCTCTATCCAAATTCTTCATCTTCTCTCTAATACTTTCAACTGTTAGTTTAATGTCCTCATTCTTCTTTGCAGCTTCTTGCTCATCAATTGATTTGTTGAGCCATGTTTCTGTCTCTACAATTTTAGTTTCCAAAACTTCTATTTCTACATCAGTAAATATATCCTTTTCAGAATTAACTTCTTTAGTATAGTTCTTTGCCATTTTAAGGAATTCTTGAGAGTTATTTAACATGTTTCTAATAGCAGCTATAGCATCGGGTCTCTCTCTGTGCTCCCAATGTTTGTAGAATATAGAATTTGTCTTGTCTTTGAGTAAAGCCAATTTTTCCTCGAACTTTTCAGTAGACGCTTCGTAACCATCATCATATAACCATTCAGACACCTCACCACATAATTTTCTTATCTCTTCAATTTCTTCTGGTTTGCCACACTCAGAATATTCCTCCATGTCCATTTTCATCTGAGCATCAACAACAAACGCCTCTAAATTATTAAGCGCAGTTTCTCTCTCTGTTCGTTTCCTATCTATTGTGTTCAACTCATTGATTTTTGATTTAGACGCCTTTAATTGTTCCGTTGTTAGAGGCTGTAAATTCAAAATTTGTTCGTCGGCTTGTACGGGTTCTTTCAAAACTACTATTTTGGGTTTCGGTTTTTCAGTTTCAGTCGCATTTTGTTTCTCTGCTGTTGTTTCATTAGCCTTAGTAGTTTCATTCTTTTCGGCTTCTTGAGGTGCTTCCTCTGGTTTTTCTTCAGCCTTCTCTTGGTTCTCGGGTGTTTCTGAATCGGAACTAAACAGCTTACTAATCGTGCTTCCTATTTTAGACAGGGTGCTATCTTTGTCTTCATCATCACCTGTAACAGTTTTCTCAGCGACAAATTCGACATTCACCAAGTTCAGTATACCAGAGTCATCCATATTGAAGTGGGCCTTAATGCCTTTATGTTCAACATTTTCACCAGTATGTTTAGATAGAGCAGCACCAACTCCAGATAATACGACTTGACTTAAATTTAGAGAGCCAATGTAAGAGAGTTCAGTTGAAGGTATGTAGTCCAATTCAGCATAATTCACGTTGAAACTAAAGTCATTTGTATGTTTGTTGAAAGTGATTACCTTCTTTTGTGGGTAAGGATTCATAGGGCCAAACAATGTTCTCTTAATCTGAAAAGAAAGAAAGAATAATCTGTAGTTGAACTAAATTGTTGTTATATGTAAATAAAAATAAAATATACTTAGAAAAAATAAAAAAAAATTGTCTTACCAAATCCTAAAACAAGAAATATAATTTTTATTATATATAGATTGCGTGACAAACTTATATACAATATAATAAACTATTTATAATTTCCCTTATAGACTTAAAATATCATTATCCATTTATAAGTACAGTGCTATTTTTTTTGTGTCCATTTGAATCCATAGGCTATTAGAGCTATTTACTTTGATAGATATAGCCAATTATGGTACAATATGGAATATGGTCAATTGTTTATAAAAATACAATTCAGCTATTAATGCAAAGGTTTGATAATATTTGCTAAATTAATTGATTTAGGATGTGTGTGATTAGGGTAAACGAACATCCGGGTAAGAACCCTACCCTGACTTACAGAGAACAATTTTTATACATATACACTCAAAAAATCCATATAAAACTCACCAGTTTCTCGTTTCCATCAACACTCCTATTAAATACGACTTGTACCGGAAGCACCACAGCGTCACGTACGTTCAATGGAGCCACCTTGTAGCCAGTCGCCAGAGACGCAGCCCTGCAAGTAGCAACAGTTTTATTATTCATATATACATAACTATATATTTCCTCAAAATTCGGGTGCATATAAAATACAACCAGGTGTTTAGCGAAAAACATGATTTTCCTATCATTATTATTTTAATTTATAATCCTATTAAAAATAAATTGTAATTCAGTTAAATTTGAGTTTTATTTGTGCACGCTCTTTTGGAATATGCTTTTCATTAAACAAATTCACCTATCCAAAACAAAAGTCTTTAACCAATGTGTCCTCCCTACTTTGATTTTGTTATAGTGCAAAAACAAGAGATGGAGAGAACTATGTTTGGAGTTTCTCTAAGAGACATGATCTAGAACGAGAAAATTCGACGAAGAATTAAAATTATTGACACAGCTCTCAAAGTCTGTCAAATTAAATGGTAGTGGGCCGGCCATAATTGAAGATTCAACGATGGTGCATAAGGAACAAAAGTCTTGGAGTGGAGGCCGCGTACAAGACGACGGAACATGGAGAGCATTTAGCCACCTGCATTTTGTTTAATTTACAAACAATACACTTTTAAAAGATCATTTATTGGGTTTTATTGTTTGTATAACACAGCAAAATGCTTATCTATAATACAATCGTAAATAGCTTATTATTATTTGCCGACTTATGGTCATAAAATCATAATAATGTTATTATAGAAATTTATTAGAAGTTAATCTTTAAAGACGCGAATTTTGTTTTGATTTAGTTATTGAGTTAGTTAAACACAAATAAAATATATAATAACTACTACAAATATTTCTACGTTAGTTATCTGATGTCAATTGATCAGAAAACACACTCCCCATAGCTCAGAACTTAAAGTCTTCCAATATTATTTTGTTTTACATTTTTACGTTCCATTTTTTTAAGAAATTGGGTAAAACTAAGGAATATTCCCAAGAGATCAGGGGCATAATAATCGGTCTTTATAAATTTAGTAAAAGTATTCGTGAGATTTGAAGACTACAGAAGATACCAAGACAAATTGTTGACTACATCGTTACGAAGTTTGCGGCTAAAGGAACAATTTGCAACAAATGTTGTTCAGGCAGACAGAGAGCCACAACTTCGAGTGAAGATTTGAGTATAGTTATTAATAGCAAACGAAATAAATTATTAACTGCACCGGAAATAGCAGCACAGTTTAATGCGGATCATGATAAACCAGTCACTATATCCACAGTTAAAAGAAAACTTTATGACGCAGGACTCAAGGAATGCATAGCGATTTCAAAACCACTTTTTAAACCTAATAACAAAAAAACGAGGCTTAATTGAGCGAGAGAACACGAGAATTGGACAATAGCAGATTGGGAAAAGATCCTCTGGACAAACGAATAAAAAATTGAAATGTTATTTTGGAACCAAACGAAGAGGTGGTTTCGTAAGACAATCAAGTCAAACAAAAAAATTAACTGGACTGGACTGTTTGAGTCGTTGGAGATCTTGAATACAAGGAATCTTAAAAAAAAAAGTTACAAAGATATCGGAAGATAGTGCAGTGTCTTGTAGAACCTATTTAATAGATCCGGGATTTATATTTCAGCATGATAATGATCCGAGACACACGTCAAGACAATGCAAGGACTATTTTAAAAAAAGAACATCAAGTGTTGAATCTCATGATAAGGCCTCCACAATCCCCTGATTTCTCCATACAACTATTGTGGGATCAGCTAGATAGACAGGTGCGAAAATGTTGTCCCGCATCTCAGGAAGACCTGTGGAAAAAATCTCAAAAAAAATGGCAGACAATAACCAAGACAATATTGGAAAAATTTGTAGCTAGATTGCCGAAGCTTTGTAAGGCTGTCATTAAAAATAAAGGTGGACACATAGTCCAAAATTTAAAAATTATATTTTTATGTCTAAACTAAAAATAGCTAATAAACATGTTAAATAATTATGAAGTGGTTTCACTCAATGAGATTTTTACAAAATGTATTTTACTAGGTGGCCAAATACTTCTGAGCGGTAGTGTATAAGTAAACAGGGCCAGCAGCATGAGTATAGCATAGCATCACACAATCCTCTCTGGCAAACATCATAGCTAGTTTCTGGTGAATTTATCAGAATAGGCTAACCGATCTAACTTTATCACCTATTTTCTACATCACCCTTCATGGTAACCAAATGGCGCATACTGGTAGCGTTAACAGGTTCGTCATTCCGTTTTTATCTCATACTAACGATCCGGCCCGGCTTCACACAGATAGATAAAATTTTAAAAAATAATCTGTTGTCTATATTATATTACTCAGGGAGAATGTTGTATTCTATGTTAATGGTGAAAGAATATTTTGAAATAGGTCCATAGTATTTCAGTTTACTCATTGCAAACATACAAGAATACAAATGTTTCTTCTTTATAATACATGAACGCTCTATATTAGCAAATCATTTGAACCACATTTTTTGTTATGGGAAAAGAGCTTAAAGAAAAAGAATATAAAAAAAAATACTAACCATTTGGAAAATATTTTTATTTATTTCTTTTACTAACTGAATAGAAAAATGAAATATAAAGAATGTTGCTTACAGAGAGGTTGCTTATATAGAAACGTTCACTGTACTAGTCATCATCATCGATAGCCTTCTCTGGGCCCGCTAGATAGTGTTCGGTCTCGGGGCGTACCCCATTACTCCAGCTTCAACTCCGGAGGCTACCACCTCCGTGTCTCGTGGCTTACACTAGATGTTATGTGTATGGGCGTGAGTGTACTAGTAGGGACGTTACCTGTAGACGGCGCCCATGGTGGCGGCCTCGTCGGCGTTGATGGAGCGCGCGGGCTCGTGGCCGGCGGCGGCGAGCAGCGCGGCGCGCACGGCCGGCGCGCGCGCCGCGCCGCCCGCCAGCACCAGCCGCGCGCCCGCGCCCGCGCCGCCCGCCGCCGACACGGCGCGCCGCACCACGCCCGCCACGCGCTGCCACACGTCCGCGCACGCCTCCTCCAGCTCGCTGCGGCTCACCTGCGCACCACACACCGCTCACCACTCACCACTCACCACTCACCACTGTGCTTACACTACACTCAACGCTCTATATACGCAATCTCTCTATAAGCAACATTCTTTATTAGTACATTACTGCAGCGGCTAGCAACTAAGGCATTGATGGACGAACGTGTAGGTGTGGGCCTAGGCGTAGCCGAGGCATACATACGTGAGCCTATCAATGCGTAGTTGTGGCCAAGGCTTGTATAGTACTTTTCTCAAACAATGCGCGAAAATCAAAAACACAATTTTACTTTTTAAATTTAATGACGAATATCGAACAATAATAATTTTACACGTGCCATAATGTTCCTTTGTTTTTTTTTTCAATAAATAGCTTTCTATTTGCAAGCCAGTTCGAAATTTAAATAAAACCTTTTATTAGTTACCTCCTTGGTAGCCATGTTTCGAAGTAAAAGGTTATTTCTATTTTTAAATTACAGGACAGATGTATGTATGTAAACTCATGTTTACATAGTAATTTATCTGGCCGCAAAACACGACAAATATGGATTTTCATACAACTTTTGCCGGTCGCTGCCCGCATGTATCTGGCCAGTACGGCAAGTTTGATTTATTTCTAAGAAGATTGTCAAAATAATGCTCACATTTCCAAGCATGTTTGAGAAAATTTTATTTATTCTACTCAGTTTAGTCAGTAAAAGAAATGAGTAAAAATATTTCCCAGACGGTAAAGTATTTTTATACTTTACCGTCGTATCGTATTTTTATTTTTTCCCTATAAGCAATTTTTAACAGTAAGACATTTTTTAGATAAAATTACTTCACATGAGTTGCTTATATAGAGCGTTCACTGTACTACTAGTCATGTGACCGGTGATTAACTCTGATACCGAGTGCCTGCCTACATGACGTACCAGACGATGCTATTCATGCCATCCTATACTGCACTTTGTATAATGTATTTACCGCCTAATCAAAACCATTTAATTAAGTAAAATTATCTATACTACTATCTACTATATTCCTTCAGTCCTCAATGACCTTAACGTCAATCATGTACAAAATATATCACAAATATCAAGTATATCATAAGAAAATTCATATAACGCTTTTAATCCATTTACTACTGCTATTTCTTCATAGTTAAAAAAAAAATACCAAGTACACAGATATAGTGTTACTTCTTACTTTCAATCCCTGCCTCTCACAATCCCCCAAAATAATAATTACAGTCCGCCGTAAGATAATTTCTAACCGCCTTATTCATAAAAATATCAAACCTCTCATAAACCAATTTGTTATTGAACTGTATTTATTTTATATTAAATTCTTAGTTTAAAAAAAGTACCAAAACAGCTTAATCATTAAAATAGGTTCATAGAAGATTTCTGTTTTTATAAATAATGGAGTAACATTTAAGCAATAAGCATATAAAACTATTAAAAAGTTCATCTCTTCAATATTAATAATGTTCAATAAATAATAAATAATTATGAAATAAAATTCAAATTATCAACTAATATTAGCCTGTGATTAAGTCATTATGTGTTGCCTGATTCTGAAATTAAATAATAGAAAAACAAAATATCGCAAATTTAACAACTATTGCTTTTGTTGTAAAAACTTTTCAAGTAATAACACATTTGATAATGTGATGAAGTAAATTGATATTATCAATTTATATCAATATGTAAGAAAACATATTGTAAAGAGAGAAAACACTATCAATTACAAGGTAAATCGTAACAGCTTATAGCAACCCCATATTATCAGACATATTGGTTATCACTATAGTAGTACAAGAAGCTTACCAAATGTTTGAAGTCCTTATCATCCAACAGACTTTCAATCTGAGCGTAATGTTCCGTATTCGCTGACAACACGATTTTAAGGCGCTCAGCTTCCCTGAGCAGTTTCTCCATGGCACGTGGAGAAGATCTCACGTCACCGCCACCGTTGGCCTCCCACGCCTTGATGAGATGCTCGCGAAGACGCAACGTGATTTCGTGACCGCCCAATGTCCTAAATATGAAGTCACGAATGTTAATACAATTATAGATGTGACGACATAAAATATGACGTAGCGATATATATATAATCATTTATGCAATGGTGCAATTTCTTTTCTGATTATGATATTTTCAATAAATACAGGAATGTAAGATTAGCAATAAAAATCCTTAAGCTATAAGCTAAATCCTTTGAATTGAACAATCATTCCTTGTTAAAGAATATTTATGTAACATTTCATTGCACAAGTATCTGAAATAAAAATAGGGGAAAAATTATAAAGAAGTTTAGATATAATTTGTTAAAAATTTTTTCGAAGCTGAATAAATTTGAATGAAATTTAGTAAGTAGATGGAAAATTATTACTATAATTTATGAGAACAGAACTGTAGTTTACATTGAATAATATTACTTTAATCTTTTCATCAGGAAAAAGGTATACCATATACTAGAATAATATAAACTATATTTTCCATGGAAACAAAAACTATATTATCCTATAGTTATGTAAATTATATAAAATCATAGATACATAACACTTACCTATCAAAACCTACACCCAAGACCTGCAGCTGTGGAATAGTTTCTACATATCCTCTCTCTTTTGTTTTCACAGTCTTGTATTCAACTAAAGCAGCTTTTGTTGAAGCCGCACCCATGTCAAAGAACAATGTGTGCCATGCTGTCTCGTTAATTTCCTAAAAATAACAAATATATATTTTAAAATAACAAATAATTAATAACAATATCCAAACAATTAGAAAAGCTTCAAAAGGTCACAATACAAAATTTGCCATTTGTTTGTGAGAGTCTGGTGCCTGAGCTAAGTTAAAACATGTGTTATAAGTCACCATAATACACAACAATACTAACTAAATGGAAAATAGGTACTCATACAGATAACTTTTATATATAGTTTTTATATTTAGTACTTTTTTATAAATAATGTTCATCTGTTAAGAATAAAATAAAATTTAATCTTACTTTTCTTCTGAATATTCCATAGTTGATAGCTATGGCAGTATAATCATTGATCAGTTGCAGTACATTCAATCCAGCTAAGGATGCAGCTTCCATCATCGCACGACGCTCCACTTGGTTGAAATAACCAGGGACTGTGATCACACACTCACTTATCTGCTGACCTGCAGTGATACAGTATGTAACTATATTTAGTAACTCCCCAAAGAAAGAAGGAATAATATATCTATGTTGAGATGTATATGTAGATATACCCAATCAGATAGAACTTCACAATATTAACTCTATAAAATGTTATAGTTAATTCCTGGTGAATTTGTTATGGACCAAACTTTATACAAGCCATGCATATATTTTATTTATTTATTTAATAAATAAAATACTTTACATAATCATAGTGCTCTGTCCAAGATGTGACAAGTTTACCAGGTTACCCCATTATAATTTCATTCAAAAAGTACATACCAACATTAGCATGTAAATACAAAACTAGTGTTAAAATTGTAAACAGATTGTGAATTGTAAAAAGCCTCACCATGACTAACTTCAGCAAACTCCTTAGCTTTAGCGAGAAGCTGTGCCACCAGTTCCTCTGGTGTGAACCTAGTGTTTTCATCATGAATAAACTCTGGTGTGCCACGTTCTGTGGCAACTATATTATAGTATGGGTAGCGTTGCCTGAAAATCATTCAATAATATAAAATTATACTCAAGTTAGTGAATATACTGAATTTCATACAAAAAACGGCCCAAATGAAAGACATAGTAAAGAAAAAGATTCAATTTACATTTAAAAGTATACTGAGTTAACAATAATTTTTACCAAATGAATATGTTGCTAATTAACACAATGAGATGTTAAATTTCATAATGATTGGTTAAGCTATTAAAGCACCAAAAAATAACAAACAAACAAAAAAGGTGTAACAAAAAAATTTCTCATCAAGTATTTTCTACATAAAAACCCTAAGTTTAATTATTCAAATTAAAAATAAAACATTGATAAATAAAAAATATCTCACATAATACACAATGTGCTGTGTTACAGTGCCATTAACCAAACATATGTCTAAAATTCAAATCTCTAAAAGTGAAAGTATTATATTTTTATATATGAATAAAATGTTACAAACTATTTAGGAGTAAGTTTAAAGTAGTTCCAACTCAAAACTATCATAAATATAATTCATACAGATTCTTAAAAGAAGAATTTTGTCATAAAATCTAATTGAAAGATAATTCAATCACTGCTACATATACTTTTTAATCATGAAAAATAAAATATTATAATGTGGCATATTGTAAAATTATAAATAACAAATACATAGCACATGTAATAAGTAAAATATGCAAAATATAACTCAACTTACTTATAAGCTTGCACTAAAGGATGGTCAAACGGCTTCCCAAGGAGGTCCAGTAAATATTTATACGAGTTTTTGGGGAATCGTACTCCAACAGTTACGGCGTCTTCCCCAAACGTTCGCACATCATCTCTAAATGCAACAACAGCCGGTGTCTTCCTCTTAGACTCTTTATTCAATACAATTTCCATCGGAACACCAGGAGACACGATACCAATCTTCATCCATTCTGATCCAAAATCTATAGATATGACCGCAGCCGCCTCTGTGTTATGACTTAAAAGTAATGGTAACAATACCATGCATAACGCTCCATACATTTTCTACAAAATAAATTTAAATAAAAATTATAAATTAAAAACACATCACCGATTCCGGGAAATAGGTTGACAGTAATGTTAAGTTTTAAGATAAAGTATACACTTACGAGATTATTTAACATTATCTTTTAAGAAATTAACATTTATGAGTTTAAATAACACAAATCTTTTCTCACTTCAGAAGACAGAGCATGTAAAATCTTTATTAATATTTAAGTAAAATGAACCAGATACTTTAGTCCACGTCAAGTTTAACGTGTTTTCTTCTTTGTGGTCACTTGTGGTTATTGACGTAATTGCCAGATGAGATTACAAAGTTTTTGGGCGATTGCGGGTGACTGTCACAGCATTTATGTTTTTAACATTTTTTATTATCATATTATAATTTCGTAAATTATTATTTACTATTTACATATTTAGATTTTTAATTAGTTATATTCCTACTCTACTCTCTGATACTAGTTTACTTCTCCAATCTACTGAGCAAGTTAATGGCTCAATCTACTAAATTGTTCATTATCCGATTGTTCATTATACTGATTTAGTTCCACTGACAAGAGGATACTCCCTTTTCTTCTATGGGATTTCTTGTTCTTAGGGATACTCTTAATTGAAAAAAGAGAGATACTTATATAAGTAAATAAATATAATTGTCCAATTGGTGTAGCATCGCTTAATTCCAGAACAAACATAAAGTCCGACTATATAAGATAAATTGATAGATTTTCATTACCTACATAGTAATATACATATTCGAAATTTAAATAACCTTTTATTAGTTACCCCCTTGGTAGCCATGTTTCGAAGTATTGTTCGTTATTCGTCATTGAACTTAAAAAGTAAAATTGTGTTTTTGATTTTCGCGCATTGTTTGAGAAAACTACTATACAATCCTTGGCCACAACTAGACATTGATGGACTCACGTATGTATGTCTCGGCTACGCCTCGGCCCACATTTGCACGTTCGTCCATCAGTGCCTCAGTTGCTGGCCGCTGCAGTAATATACTATTTCTAATATATCACCTATCTTCTTTCTAACTAGATATTTTTGCTTCTCTCCAACAAACAAAGCCATTAGCAATTAATATATGGAACTATTAACAAAAAAAATATTTCTAAATTGTTCTGCATTAGCAGCAACAACATTCGTACAAACTTTTTAATTATGAAGCTAAATAAGTGCATACATATAAATAATTAGTTACTCTTCGTCTAGTTAATAGAAAAAAAAATTCACTTTTATATTGACAATATTATAGTCGTCGCGAAATACAATCGAGTACTCGATTAAGTAGATGTGTAGATAGCTTTATAAACATAGAATAAATGTCATGAATAGACAATATAGACTAGTGTCCGGTTATCAAATCATATGTTTATTTATGTAGGTTGCTCTTTGTTTATGGTTTGATTGGGTGTCGATGTCGAATAGGTGTTTGTTGCGTGTTGATTGCAATTGCAAATGCGAAGTCGTGGAATGGTGTTTATTATTGTTACTATATAATTTATTAGTGTCTTCTACAAACAAAACATCTAAAAGGTAAGTCTGCATTTTCGCATATATTTCTTTCGAATAACTATTATATTTATGCCACAAATTAATGTTCTATACTAAAAAAATTATTGACCTGATACGCATTTTGGATTTTACACTCCAAAATATTGTCTATAAGTACTACCTTGCACCCGGTCGTTCAAATTGAGAGGTGCGTCAAGTATCGTTTACATGCGGTTCTAAAAATGTGACTAGACACGCTCTGACCCGTCAGAACGCATTCGATGTCGCTCCTTCTAAATATGGAACGGCTATAAGTCAACGCAGTGTGGCATCTTCGGCGTGTGCCCGAGACCGTCCCTGCAATTATGTAACGGCCCTTCTTGTTGGGGGCCAGCACGTGCATCATGAACTTGCACGCGCACGCTTCCACGTCTCAAACACGGCGCGCGACGCAATCGCGCACGCGGTCGTTTGCGTTGCCGATTCCATTCCTGTTCAGCAGTTTCCTAGCAACACACTGTTGACGCCACTGGTGACCCAATGAACACAAAAACATGGCAATCGACTATTACATCACCTCCGCCGCTATATGATAGTATTTTAGCTACTCGCGTTGCTAGGGAGTAAGAACCATAACATAATTACATGTTTAAAAGTACAAGGTAACTCTTGCCTGGACTTTGGTCAATCTTATTTCAACTTGGTAAATTTAATATTGTTTAATTTGGATTTTTTCATCTCTTAACAATTGTTTCATAGTACAAGATATTTTGTTTATTTATCTAGACTATTCATGTGCTTATATGGCACTTATCATATTTTTATCAGTGTACTATATATGCTCCTTGTGAATTTGCCTGTGTGGATATATTTACTATAGAAATTTCTGACAATCCTTTACTGAAGTTCTATACCACATTAAAACACCTACCAGTCAAATGTGAGCTTTGTAGTTCAAATAGTTTTTGAGATAATCATGTTTATCAGTTAGTCAGTGGGAGAGTATTATTTTATTATAATATAGTGTGTAAATATAATAACAATGTAATCTGAGTGACAAATGTTACAAGGTATATATGTACATAGTTTATTTATTTTGCCTTGTTCTCATGCTTTAAACCTAATATTTAAAATTATTTGTCCTTATTTTACATACACAAATGCTACAAAATAGACTAAAGTAGTGCAATCCAAAAATAGCACCTAGACCTTTGTGTGACCTACTTTGTAACATACACTTCCTGTAGGATTTCTAAATGTACTTGTCATCTAAGAGACAATGCTCTACTTCCTACATTCACCTTTGGTTATAGCATAAACACATTGCACTTGGTTTATTATGTTTTCAAGCATATGTTATATCTTTAATAATAATTCACATTCTTATATACTGCTTCTACCTTTATACTATTTAATAGTCTTGTACAGTTTTATTCTTTTGTTTATGTTCTCTGAAATAGTAGACATGTACAGTGTTATATGCACCTTTTAAAATTGTAATTGTGGACATGTATCTATTTATTGTGTTGTTTCCAAAGCTATCTCTGTTTATACCATGCATCTGTAAGAACTTTGAATTGGCAACTTCTAAACAAAATATCATTCCCTATTTGACTCACTTTAGGAAAATCATTTTTTAGAAATCTTTATTTATTTACTCATTTATTTAACTATAATATCTATACATATTTTTGGTAAGCATTATAGATTTACCAATACCAATAAATCTCCAAAAACCTTTGGTGCTCATCCATGTTATATTTAAAAAACTTCATTGTTCTAAACATAAGCATTTATACTGTGTAGTGTCATTATGTCAGAGTCACTATTATTAAGTAGACATGTAGATTGAACAGCTTCAATCATGTTATTGTTATCTATATGGAATTGTATGATTAGTAATGGTAAATATTTAACTTTCTAAATGTTAACAACACACAAATAGATACTTTTGTGATGTGTCTTGTTTATGTAAAATGTAAATTTTATGCAAATTCCTCAAAATGCGACATTAATATTTTTCTAATCTTTAAATTTCTAAGCCAGATAATTCTATCTTTCTAGTATAACAAGAAAATTAATAGATACAATAATAATAATTTTCACAGGTTAATGAATTATTTAATAAAACTAGTAACCACAACTTATTAATGTCTAAAAAATTTTTAGAACGTTTACAGTTATAGAGATTATGCACGATATACAGTGTTACCTCATTATAATATTAGCATAGATACTGGTAATCCCCTGATTATGTTACTGCATATAATCTCTGATTATGATAGTCAAAAGCATTTATTTATCAATAGTTCCAGTTTACATTTCGACAATGTATCACTACCGGATTACTACTGTTATTTGAATTCATTGGCTTGTGTTAAAGACGTTTACTATCAATTGAATATTATTTGGATACTAAAAATTACAAAATTTTGTGTCAACTGTTATAAATGGTATGTAGGTATTTAATAATCAGGACCTGAAACTTGCGAGTCGGAGAGTTGCTGTTATGTACTATTTTTAAATTACTTTATAGTCGCTTATAACTTTATATTACGCGACTTCCACCGACTAACCAGAGTATATTGATATATCAGTATAAAAATTAGTTTGTGTACCTCCCCATCCCACACCTACCTACCTGTACCTTTCATGACGATTGGCTAAATCTCTAATGCGCCAAGCTTAGGCGACAAGAGATAACAAACAGTCTCACTTTCACATGTTTAATATGAGTAAAAGTGCATTTTTACCCGATAGCTAAAAAAGACGGTAATATTTTTTCACGTGTATGTCTGCGAATATATCCGGATCTTCGGCGTATAAGGTATTTTTTTATTTAATGGGTTAAGATGAAATGATAACCCAATCAGCGCTATCGATATACGCTGGCGAAGCACCAGTGAAGTCTAATAGGTGGGGATGAAAGCAGGTCAGTTAGCCCATCGTGACTGACAATTCTACAAGAAAACTACGATGGTTACTAAAGGGAAATGCGTGGAGGTCGGCTTGTTAGAGTATATTGCTAGGAATGAGGCTATTAGACCTCATTACTATCAATCCCTTTTCTCCCGTATAAGGTGATAAAGTAATAAAAATAATGTAATACCAACCAGGATATAAGTAACTATCTTCCATTATAAAATATAGTAAAATTTATATTTGACTGCAGGACGAATAATAAGATTAGATCCTAATAGCAACTTCATGAATTTTATTAACCCTTTAATTGCCGACAAGCGCCATCGCGCTCGTGCGCATTGCAACTAAAAGTGCCACGAGCGTCATAGCGCTCGTGAAATCTTGAAATCTTGCTGTAAAAAAAAATATTAAATTTGGATAATTTTTGGAGGAGATACAGTTTTTTTAGAGACAAGGGTAAATGACATCGACACGACAAAGATTTCTTTGGCATTTTTAAGTAGATATGAGTAAAAATCAATGGCACTAAAAGGGTTAAATGGGATGATATTAGATTTGTCTTATTTGTAGAATTGGTGTAAAATTAGGAAACAATCCAGAACTTTTGTTAGTTCAGGATTGTTTCGTAATTTTAATGATCAAAAATTATTTTTTATTGAGAGAAAAACAATTCTATTCTTATAAGCTATCATAGCCACTTGTTTATAATCTTCGTCGGAACTACAGTGTAACGTGATAGGTATCAGATTCTCAGATAACACGCTTTCCTTCGTTCAACATTGACATGGGTGGGGACATTTTCTCTCTCATCCTTACTAATATTATACACTAGCTATAGCCCGTGGCTTCGCCCACTTAAATCAATATATAAATCATCCTATATGATAAATAACGATAATAATAATAACGAAATTGTATCCAAATCTATTGAGTAATTTTTACGTAAAAAATATTCTCGCAAACTTTCCTAAACTATAGTATGATGTGAAAGTGAGTTTGATACCTCTTAGCACCTTAACAGCTAACCCAATCGTCTTGAAATTTGGTATACACGTACTATATGAGTTCGAGAAGGACATAAGCTACTAATTTTCCCGGTAAACGTCATCTCCCGGTCACACAGATGTAGTCACAGGTAAAAGCTAGTTTAAACTGAAATTTCAGTACATGTATGTAACAACCAAATTGTTCTAATGGGCTGCGCAGACAAAATTTCTCTTTATCTCGTCCCAGTAGATTTTTAAAACACTTAAATGACAATTCATTTTAGTCTTAAAAAAACCATCTAAAATTATATACTGTTACACAAACGAAAATTTGTTTACAAAAATGTATATCTCATCTGACCTTAATGATCAGTATGTAGAAACTAAATTTACAACATTGTTAAGCTGCGACTTCGTCCGCATGACCGGGTTATATTAATTAACCGGGATAAAAAAGGGGGAAAGGGATTGTTAGTAATGGAGACTGAGAATCCCATTGCTAGCAATATACCCAACCAGGTCCACCTCGCGGTTCTCCCTGGATACTATCATTGTTAATTCCTAATGAATTCATCATGATGGGCAAACTGGCCTGTTTTCATTCTCATCTATCACCCTTCACTGGTGCTCCGCCAGCGTTCCTTCCTGCATAGAATAGGCTACCCCTTCCTTTCCCGCAGGTGTCATGCTAAGGAACTAAATGACCGAGGGATGGGCAGCAGCGTCCCTGCAAAGCGTAGCAGCTACTGGCAAATATCCAAAATTATGAGGAGGTTATGTTTAGCAGGTGACAGTTAACGGCTGATACAACAACTAAATACTACAGTTAGTTGAGTCGTTAAAACGGCAAAAGATTACCAACAAACTCACTTTTGTGATTCGTTATTTTAGTAAGCAGTAAGGACAACACTGTAAATTTAGTTCATGGTTAACCCTGACAGAATACTTTCTATTAAATTTTTTTTTATATATATTTAGGTGTAAGGACATCCGAATATTATTCCGTTGCTTTTTGGCTTTTGACCAGTAAAATTTATATACGAACCGGTGTGGAATTATTGATTTATAATCTTATCTACAGGTCGGACTAGAGTTTGAACTCATGCGGCCTAGCAATATGGAATTTTCTATACT